AAAGAAAGCATGAGGTTTCATTTTTTTTCTTTTTTGTTATATCGGAAACCCCTTTGTGGAATGGGTGTGGATCTATCCTATTCCCCTTCTATATTTTGTATATTTTTCTTGTGCTTTTCTTTTTTCAATTTCTTTTTTTCCTTCTTCTTCTTTTTCTTTTCTTTCTTCTTCTTTCTTCTTCTTCTCTTCTTCTTCTTCTTTTCTTCTTCTTATATATTATTATTATTATATATTATTATTATTATTATTATTATATATTATTATTATTATATATATTATATTATTATTACTATTATTATTATTATTATTCTCATTATTATATTACTATTATTCTCCTTATTATTATCATTATTCTCCCAATTCTCCTTCTCCTTCTTCTTCTTGATGATGGCGACTTTATAAGTAAAAAAAGTAATAATGATGGCGATTTTAAAAAATATATATATGATGGTGATGGCGACTTTATAAGTAAAAAAGTGATGAGATGGCGACTTTACAAGTAAACAAAATGATGATAATGGCAACTTTATAAGTAACAAAAAAAAGTGAAAAGATTATATATCAACATGAAGTCATAGTCAATGACAAAAAATAAAGAGGGAGAGAGCAGTCTGAAAAACTTGATATGTAATCAGGCGAATCATGATAAAAGTGATGACTTACAGTGATGAGGTAAGACAGGTATATTTTGTCACTATAACCAAAATTATGATAAAGAGTAGCAAGCAAAACCATGATAAAGAGAGAAAAGCAATAAAATAACCAGTAATAAAGAAGATAATCAAATAATTTTAAAAAATATATATCTAAGAAAAAGAATGTAGGAAATAACCAGAAGACAAATAATAGAATAATAGATAACATGATGAATACAGAGATAAAGAAAGAGAATAAATAGGAGAATAAAGACCACGGATAATAAAGATGACACAGGGAAAAGGGAAATAATAACATAATAGATAACAAGATGAATACAGAGATAAAGAAAGAGAATAAACAGGAGAATAAAGACACAGGTAGTAAAGATGACACAGGAAGAAGGGAGATGGGAAAGGGAAGAGAAAGGGAGCGACAAAAGACCATAAGGAAGCGCCTTTCACGACGAAACGAGGAAGGGAAGGAAGTGACGAAGGCGGTTCTCGCGCCATCTAAGCGAAAGGAAAGGGAGGAAGAGGAAGAGAAAAAAAGGAAAGTGAAGGAGAAGGGAGGAGGAGGGAGGGAGGAGGGAGGAGGAGGAGGAGAGGAGGAGAGGAGGAGGGAGAGGAGAGGAAGAGAAAAGGGGGAGGGATGAGAGGAAGAGGGAAGAAGAAATGGGGAGGAGGAGGGAAGAAGAGAAAGAGAGGGAAGTGAGGTGTTAAGGAGGAGGAGGAGGAGAAGGAGAAGGAGAGGGTGAGGGAGGAGAGAAGAAGAAAAGAGAGGAAGAGGAGGAGAAGGAAGAAGAAGAAGAAGAGGAGGAGAAGAAGAAAGAAGAAGAAGAAATATAAAGCCCCCGAAAGCACGGCACGGGGCCAGCCCAACCCCACAGCCGGGAGGAGAGCCGCCCCCGAGGAGCCGCGGCCACCCACTCACCGGGCGCCCCGCCGAGCCACTTCCAGCAGCGAGAGGATGACGTGCTTCTCGTTCTTCCTCATGACGAGGTCGTCCGTCTCGAAGAGCAGCACCTCGTAGATCCCGAGGTCGCGACACCAGGCGATGAAGTTGTGCACGTTGTCCCTGGCGAAGAAGGAGCCCGGCGCCACGTCGGTGCGGTAGACCACGTCGTACTGCGGGATCTCCCACTTGGACGAGAACCTGCGGCCGCCGCCTGCGGGGCCCTCCGGGTGCAGGCCCCTGCTGGCGCTGCTCCTCCGCCAGGCGCCGCACGTTGTTGGCGTGCTGCGGGGAGAGAAAAGGGGGGGGTCAGTATGGAGGCGTTGGCGGTGGGTGCTGTGGGGGAGATAAAAGTGGGGAGGGGGGAGGAGGAGGGAGGAGGGGGAGGGAGGAGGGAGGAGAGAGAGAGAGAGAGAGAGAGGAGAGAGAGAAAGAGAGAAAGAGAGAAGAGAGAAGAGAGAAAGAGAGAAAGATAGAGATAGAGAGAGAGAGAGAGAGACAGAGACAGACAGACAGAGAATTAGAGAGAAAATTCAAAAAGCAAACTAAGTACATTCAAAACAAGAACAAGGCTGAGGAGAGGGAGGGGGGGGTTGTTAGGTGAATGGTTGGCACTGGAGAATAGTTGTTCATGGCATCGTGGTGTTGTCAATGGCCTTTTGGGTTAATAATGGCCTTAGAGTGTTAAGAATGACTTTGTAGTGTTAATAAATGACCCAACAGCGTTATCAATGGCCTTATGAAAATAACCAGTTGTATTGGTTGCAAATTCAACAAATAGATTAGATCAGAATAATAGCAGAATACCAGTCATTTGGATTTTTTTCTTGGTAAAACTTCCTTTCCTTCCTCACCCACTACCCCCCCCAACAGTCTCCCCCTACTTCAACCACCCACCTCCACCCCGCTACTCGTCCCCTCCACCCTACTCGTCCCCCCTATCCTCACCCCACTCGCCCCCCCCCACTCGCCTCCCCACCCCCACTCGCCCCTCCTATCTCCACCCCCACTCGCCTCCCCACCCCAACTCGTCCCCACTAACCCCACCCCACTCGTCCCCCTTACCCCCACCCCCACCTCGCTCCCCCTATCCCACTCCCACTCGTACCCCTCACCCCCATCCCCTACTCGCCCCCCTATCCCCCCACCCCTTTCGAGGATGACTTCACCCCCCCCCCCCGCCCGTCGACCCTCGCGGAGGCTTGGATTCCGCCTCAGATAGATCAAGTGAGACTCGAGAATCCTTCGAGAGCCACCTCCAAAACACCACAACCTCAAAAACACCATCTTCAACACCACCACTATTTACCGAAAGAAACAAAAAAAAAAAAAAAAAACATAAACAAACTCCCATTTCCTAACACACTTTATCGAAAGAAAAAAAAAAAAAAAAAAAAAACTCACCTATTTCATAACACACTTTATCGAAAGAAATAAAAACAAACAAACAAACAAACTCTCTCTATTTCCTACCACACTTTACCGAAAGAAACAAAAAACAAAACAAACAAACAAACAAACTCTCTCCCCATTTCCTACCCCACTTTATCGAAAGAAACAAAAAACAAAAAAAACAAAAACATAAAAAAACTCTCTCCCATATCCTACCCCACTTTATCGAAAGAAAACAAAAAACAAAAAAAAACAAAAACAAAAAAAAAACTCTCCCATATCCTACCCCACTTTATCGAAAGAACTTAAAAAAAAAAACAAACAAACAAACAAACTCTCTCCCCATTTCCTAAGACCATTTTCCTATTCCATGGATGCCTTTATCCCGCCCCGATTTATCCAACAGACGCCATTCAGGACAAGATCGATTTTATCCGACGGGGAAATCCGCTATCCACAAGCGGGTCAATTTCCATGTGGGATCTGAGGGGAGGGAGGGTGGGAGAGGGGAGAGGAGGAGGAGGTTGGGAAGCAAGGGGGAGGAGAAGGGAGGGAGGGAGATGGAGAGGGGAGGAGGGTGGAGGGTGGGAGGGAGGGTGGGGAGAGGGGGGGGAAGGAGGAGGGTGGAGGGGGAGAGGAGAGAGGAGGAGGTGAGAAGGGGAGGGAGGGGAGGGGTGAGGAAGGGAGGGAGAGGGAGGAAGGAAAGAGGAAGGAGAGGGGGAGGGAGGAGGAGGGGAGGAAGGAGGATAACAGAGAGGGAGAAGGAGAAAAGCCAAATGAAACTGGGGGAATTTAAGAAGGAGAGGAGGGAGGAGGGGAGGGAGGAGGAGGAGGGAGGAGAGGAGGAAGGAGGAAGGAATGAGGAGAGGGGGAGAGAGAGGAGGAGAGGAAGAGGGAGAAGGGAGAGGCGAAGGGAGGAGGAAGGAAGGAGGGGAGAGAGGGGGAGGAATGAAGTGAGTAAGAAGCAAGGAAAGAGGAGGAAGAGAGGAGAAGAGAAGCATCGATTTCAGATACACAGAGTGGATTTCAAGAACACCATAAACTAAATTTCTGTTCCTATAGAGAAGAGAAAGAAAGAATTTTTCCTTTCTCTCCCAAAACCCCCCACCCCCCACCTTACCACTCACCCACCGCCCACCCCTACCCACTCTCCCACCGCCACCCCCCCACCCTTACCCACTCCCCCCCCCCTTACCCACCCACCCCACCCTTACCCACTCTCCCACCCCCCCTCCTTACCCATCACCCTACGCCCACCGCCCACCCCCCCCCCCCAATCCCCCCCACCCCCCCCCAAGTGTGGAAACATAATTCGGTGCAACAGCGCCACGTAAAACAGAATTACCAATTTCGAAAATGCAATTTACTCTTGAATTATTTCAACGCCGAAAAC